CCAATCTAAGCAGTGAAGAAGCTCTCTTCTATTTCATCGATGGTCTCCAGAATTGGGCCAAGCATGATCTACAGCGGCGTGATGTGAAGACCATTAATGAGGCAATCATAGTAGCTGAAAGTCTCACAGAGTATCATAAGAAAAAATGTGAGTCCTTAAACCCAAGTCTTCCAAACCTAATCCTGAAAAGGGTGAGGGAGATAAAGACAAAGGGACATCCAAAGGGGGTGATGGCAGGACCTCGCAAAAGAAACAACCTAAAGGACAGAAGAAGACCTTCAAGGACCAAACGGGATGCTTTGTGTGCAAAGGCCCTCATCGAATGAGAGAATGTCCAAAGTTAGGTACGTTGGTAGCCATAATGGAGAAAGCTAAATAAAGGAACCTAATGCAGAGATGGGGTCTCTACGACTCCTCAATGCTTTAAAGGCCAAACCCCTACTAAAGAATTCTAAAGGTGAGGGTTTAATGTATGTAGATGGGAAGTTGAATAGATCATTTGTCACCATCATGTGTGACACTGGAGCTACCTATAATTTTATCACTCCAGAAGAGGCCAAGAGAATAGGTCTCAAGGTGGTGAAGGAGGGAAGAAGTCTGAAGGTAGTTAACTCACCTCCTAAGCAACTATGTGGCATAGCACAAGGAGTTGAGCTATGTTTGGGGAGCTGGAGTGGTAAGATAGACTTCTCCATAGCTTCTATGGATGACTTCAAGGTCGTGCTAGGACTTAAGTTCTTCAGGAAGGTAAACGCTTACCCCATACCTTATTATAATTTACTTTGCATACTAGAGAATGAAAACCCTTACTTTGTGCCTATAAGAAGGGTGAGTGGTGGATACCAACTCTCAGCCTTGCAAGTCAAAAAGGGGTTAAAGAAGGGAAAGGCTACGTACTTGGCAACATTGAAGGAGATTGACCCTGGGGACAAGGTTAAGGAAGAAGTCCCTCCCATAATTGCCCGTGTCTTAGTAGAGAACCAAGACATTATGCCTGCTGAGTTGCCCAAAAAGCTTCCACTATGTAGAGAGGTAGATCATGAGATCGAGTTGGAACAGGAACCCGGCCACCAGCCATGGTACCATATTATATGGCACCACCCGAGTTGAAGAAATTGAGGAAGCAGTTAAAGGAGTTGATCAATGCAAGCTTCATTTGACCATCTAAGGTACCTTTTGGAGCACCGGTCTTATTCCAAAAGAAGCAGGATGGGTCCTTGCGCCCATGCATTGACTACCGGGCTCTCAACGAGGTAACTATTAAAAAGAAATATCCTATTCCTTTGATAGCTAACTTGTTTGATTGCCTGGGAAAGGCAAAGTACTTTTCTAAATTGGATCTAAGGTCTGGGTATCATCAAGTTTGAATTACTGAAGGAGATGAACCCAAGACCACCTGTGCATGATATGGGTCTTTTGAGTGATTAGTCATGCCTTTTGGACTAACCAATACACTAGCCACATTCTGCACTTTGATGAATAAGATCTTTCATCCTTATCTCGATCGGTTCATGGTGGCGTACTTAGACGACATCGTCATCTATAGCAACACGCTGGAGGAACATGCTGAACACCTCCAGATTGTGTTCAAGACCCTTCGTGAAAATGAGCTTTATGTGAAGAAGGAAAAGTGCTCCTTTGCTATAGAGGAAGTCTCCTTCTTGGGACATGTCATCTCACATGGTTGCCTCAAGATAGATAAGAAAAAGGTACAAGCTATAAAGGAATGGGAGCCTCCAACATGTGTGGCTGAGTTGCGATCCTTCCTGGGATTAGTAAACTATTATCGGCGATTTATCAAAGGCTACTCGACAAGAGCTGCCCCTCTTACAGAGTTGTTGAAGAAGAACAAATGTTGGGCTTGGATGGAGGAGTGCCAACAAGCCTTTGAGGACTTGAAGGCAGTTGTAATAAAAGAACCAGTGTTGACACTTCCTGACTTCTCCAAACCCTTTGAGGTATATACTGATGCCTTTGACTTTGCTATAGGAGGTGTCCTGATGCAAGAGAGGCATCCCATTGCCTTTGAAAGTCACAAGCTAAATGATACTAAGAGACAGTGCACGGTCCAGGAAAAGGAGATGACGATTGTAGTCCATTGCTTGTGTACTTGAAGGCATTACTTGCTGGAGGCAAAGTTTATCATCAAGACAACAACGTGGCCACTAGTTACTTCCAGACTCAAAAGAAGTTGACGCCAAAGCAAGCAAGATGGTAAGACTTCTTGGCTGAGTTTGACTATGTGTTGGAGTATAAGCCAGGAGCAGCTAATGTCGTTGCCGATACTCTAAGTAGAAAGGCAGAACTGACAACCTTGACCCAAGTTAGTGGGGACTTATCGAGAAGATTAAGGAAGGGATGGCTTAGGATCCCATAGCCTTGCAACTAATGGAACTAGCAAATGAAGGGAAGACTAAGAGATTCTAAGTGGATGATGACATCCTTTACACTCTAGGAAGGCGCATGTATGTCCCTAAATAGGCAAACCTAAGGAAGGAGCTAATCAAAGAGTATCACCACTCTAAATGGGCAGGTCACCCAGGTCAAAGGCAAACTTTGGCTTTGCTAGAAGCAACCTATTATTGGCCATACATGAGGGAGGATGTGGAACTTTATGTGAAGACTTATCTTGTATGCCAACAAGACAAGGTAGACAACCAATTGCTCAGATGACTGCTCGAACCCTTACCTACACCGAGCCAACCATGGGAAAGTATTTCCTTGGACTTCATCTCAACATTACCTAAGCCAGAAGGATTCGAATCCATCATGGTGGTAGTAGATCGATTCTCTAAATATGCAACTTTCATAGCTATCCCAACGGACTGCACAGTTGAGGAAGAAGCTCGAATGTTTTTCAAAAATGTGGTAAAGTATTGGGGCCTTCTTAGAACTACCATTAGTGATAGAGATCCATGGTTCACAAGAAAGCTGTGGACAGAACTATTCAAACTATTGGGGACAGAGCTACACTTCTCAATTAGCTTTCATCCTCAAACAGATGGGCAAACTGAGAGGGTGAACACTTTATTTAAGTGCTACTTGCGGAACTTTGTTAGTGCCAATCAAAAGGGTTAGGTTAAGTTACTTGATGTGGCTCAATTCTCCTACAACCTACAAAGGAGTGAGGCAATAGGAAAGAGCCCATTTGAGATTGTGATAGGGCAACAACCAATCACCCTACATGCCCTCGCAACCTCCTATAAAGGTAAGAGCCCTGGAGCTTTTAACATGGCTAAGTCCTGGTAGGAACGAGCAGATGAAACAAGATCATCTCTTGAAAAAGCTGCTAAAAAGATGAAGAAGTTTGTAGACAAACGAAGGCGTGCAATAGAATTTCAAGTTGAGGATATAGTAATAGTGAAACTTCTCCCACAACAATTCAAAGCCTTCAGATCAGTACACAAGGGCCTCATTCGCAAATATGAAGGTCCTTATAAGGTAATCAAGAAGGTAGGGAAAGTCTCATATAAATTGGATCTCCCTACTAATTTAAAGATTCATACTGTCTTCTATATTAGCATGTTGAAACCTTATCATGAAGACTAGGATGACCCAACGCGAGGAACATCATCACGTGCCCCACCGACCATCACCAAGGCATATAATCGAGGAGTTGAAGAAATACTTAGTCATCGAGTTGTGCGAAAAAGAGGTGTGCCACCAAATACACAATACTTGATCAAGTAGAAGGGATTGCCAAAGAGTGAAGCGACATGGAATCTTAGAGAGACCTTTGGCAATTTGAAGAACTACTTTGTTCCTATAGAGATGATGCTGTGACGAGGACGTCACTCGAATAGGTGAGGGAGAATGTGACAAAGTTAGAATTTTCACGAGGTTAAAATATTCTAGAAGCTTTCAAAACGATCCAGGACAATCAAGAAGGCACTAGAGTCTTCTAGGATATGCCGTTATAACCTCGAAAGACTTAAATATCTCTAAAATAGTGTAGAAAGCACTTGAAGTATCTAAATCATTCTAGGAATATCCTACTCTTGTACATTTTAGAATTCTCCTTGTAAATATCAAGATATTCCTTGTAGATATTTTTATAAAAATATCTAGAAATAAAATGTATACCGTTAGATCGAATCAATCCCAACCGTTCATTGAGGAAGTGGGAATTTTTTAGAGAAAGAGGGAGGTCTATAAATACTCCCTCACCCCTCATTTATAACTACTCAAGCAAGTAATAAAGCTCTCAAATTCATTCATTCAAACTTTATACTCTTTATTTGTGTATTTAACTCTCTAAGTCCCTTTACTTACTTTATGAATTTGGCTGATTTAATCATAATTAAGAGGTTGATCAAGTGAAGACCATCACAATTCAAGAAAAGAGGAGTTCTAAGGCCGTAACAAAAGGCACCTTAAATCGTCAATCGTGGCACGTATGCAGCGGTGTTTTTGGGTGATTATAAGTGGATCAACTAAATGAACTATTGCTTTTCAAAGAATCGCGGTTCGCCCTCGACGCTCCTCCGATCCTACTTCGTAAACTTTGAGAGGTAACCAATCGTCCTTTCTCACGATCTTTCAAAATTTATCGTTTTTTTACTCTTTGATCACCTTTCCTGCGCGTTTATGTTTTAGATCTGCACCGCTCTCCGTGGGTTAACCCTTCGAATCAATTAAATGTAATCAAAATCAAGATTTCTTTAGAAATTGATATCGTCCTCGAAATTAATGATATTCATATTCTTCATTTACTTTTGTTGTTGGACCTGTTTTAAAATTGACGACCTGCTTGTTTGTTGGCTTTGATATTGTTTTCCATGCTTCTTATGATGATGATTATTACTAGTATACCTTTCTGTACTTGCGTAAATCCGATTGTAACTCCTGAAAAATAAAACATCGCCGATTTTTTCCCCTTGAAAAAATTCGGCTGTATGCGATCTGATCAATATTTATATTACGGTAGAGCAGTGAAATTTTGATGGGCTAATGAGATTTTTCCTCTCTATTTTTCCACTCCACGATCAGCGTCGAGTGATCTCTAGCTAGCTACTTCGGAAGTTAAAATGGGGTTGACGTTCACCAAGCTCTTCAGTAGGCTTTTTGCCAAGAAGGAAATGCGGATTCTGATGGTGGGTCTTGATGCTGCTGGTAAGACTACAATATTATATAAGCTCAAGCTTGGCGAGATCGTCACCACCATCCCTACCATTGGTGAGCCCTAATACTCATGAGTAATCTTTCTTTCTTTCTGAATGGTCAGGCACAACATTGCTGAAGCCTTATGAATAATTGAAAAGGCAGGCTCCGTTTAAAATAACCTGATATTTTATGGTCCATTGCTGTTTATGGATTAGATTTTTCCAAAAGACTTGGGAATTATGACTTTTCTAATTCTAATTGCTCTTGCTTTAGATCGCCTCTCACTGTACTAATCTGAAAAGAGGGCCGTATGTTTATCCTTCAGGATTTAATATTGAGACCGTGGAGTACAAGAACATCAGCTTCACTGTATGGGATGTTGGTGGTCAGGACAAGGTACAGCTGTATTTTTTTTTTATTTTAAAGTGTATCTTCCTGTAGTCAGGGAGTGTCACAAGTTGTGTAAACTTTATAAGTGTGAAGGGCTCTCTAAACTAGTCTCTTAGGATGGGTTTTTTCTTTAGACTTTTGCTTATGACATTGGTACTTTCGTTAAGAGTCTGGTGTCACAGAAAGGCTACTGACGGAGGTTTTTGATTGACTAAAAGCTTAGTGAAGTGTCGTAGAGTGGAGCCATTGCGGATGTCAGCTCTTGATATGTTGACATTGTAATGAATTCCACATCACGTAACTTCACAAGTTAAGTGAGTTTTACAAGTGTGAAGGGCTCTCTTCCTAATAAGCTAGTGTTTTGGATGAGATTTCTCTTTGAACTTGTGCTCATGACACTTCCATGTTTCAGACTTTGTTAAAGCTCACAGGATCCCTACTGAGCTTATCTATTTTGTGTCACATCGGAGGTGACATTTCTGTTTCTTACCTTGGTTTGAATGAGGTGAAAACAAATTTTGATGTGCTGGGAATGAGGATCTGGAGATGTCTCTAATGTGTATGGTCAGCGTTTTGCTATTTTTGAGTGAATAAACAAATATTTTAAAGAAATAAATAGTTTTTTGCTCACAAAATGAGTAACAGACACAGAGCCATGCCAGTTTATATAATCTACTCATCATGAATTTTGACTCTTCTTTGGCTTGTATTTTTGTTGAATAGGTGTCTATTCTGCTAGTGGTTTTCTTTAATTATGAGTAAAGCATGTTGACTTAGCAACCCGTGTTAAATTATATTATTCTATGCATTTAGATTCGTCCATTGTGGAGGCACTACTTCCAGAACACTCAGGGTCTTATTTTTATGGTTGATAGCAATGATAGAGATCGAGTAGTTGAGGCAAGGGATGAGTTACACCGGATGTTGAATGAGGTACGTAATTATATACATGCTATTGGTTGAACATATATTGGGGAGTGAGGGTTTAGCATGAATTGTTTGCATTGTTAGAGGCTCTAGCTTCTTAAGAGGAAGGTGGTCTTTGTGTGCATTCCTGTGTTTTCTTAGGTTATTTTCAGTACTTTCATTTGCTTAGACCTATATTCTAGTTAATTATTGACTTAGTATTGTGAATTTGAATACTGTTTGGAGCTTGAGTTATTCAGACAATACAAATGATCGGGTGTTGCCCAGTCTCAGTCTGGATTGATAAAATCATGAATGTAATTTAAAAGGACTAGTGTGCTTGATACGGTTATGCAATTTCAGAGAGAGATATAGCAAAAATGATGGGAACATGTTGGAGAAAGAGAAAATGAAGTCTTTGTGACTAATAAATGGGGGTTGGGAAGGGTTAATTGTGACTTTTTATTAATTAGGGGGTACATGAGTACAGGATTAGAGTAGTTAAGTGAAATTTCTATTAAGAATATGATTTATTTCTGCAATTGTGACAAGATAGAAAGAGAGATAGGAGAGAGAAGAGAAAGAGGAAGAAGCAAATTGATAGAGAGAGAATTTGAAGGAGTGAAGAGAGACGAACAGAGAAGTTAGAGAGATTCTGAATAGCACCTGGGTATTCTCATTCGAGGAAAAACATAATCTGATTAACATAGTCAGTAGTCTTATTTATAATCTCCTATTCCTACCCATTCCCTGTAACCGCTACTTAACAACCATTAACTAACCTTTCCCTCCGACTAATTATTTACTAACTGGTCACAATTACCTAACCACCTTGCTTATTTATTAACAATCTCATCAAATTCTATGATATTACAATGATGTATCATAATAATTCACTCTGTTGCGTGTTCATCTCTAGAGTTTATTGTCATCTTGTGTCCAGTGACGGTAGATTTTCCTCAGAAGCTGGTACATCAAGAAATTGGGCGTGAGGAGGATTTTCTTGTTCAATAACCACATATTTTGAAATTACAAAACTTGCACATGTGCCAGAATGCCAAAAAAAAAAGTAGGAGGGGATGGAAGGTAAGAAGGGAAAGGATTGAAAGGTTATAGCATCATTAGGTGATATGCTGAGTTTTGCGCCCTTTCATGACCTTGACCTTGGTAAAACTCTTCTTACGTACAATGGAGGTAGTTGGCATGGCTTTGATTGGTTGTGTTAGTTGGAGCACCAATATATTGACCAAGATTTGTTATTTGATGTTAGTTTTAATTAGCTTTGTGCTTGATTGCTTGTTATCTCTTGTTTTTTACTCATCCTTTGTACTTTGGTTACTAAAGTGTTTTTTAAGTTTTAAATTGTTTAGCAGATGAGTTTTTGTGAATATTAGTTTGTGGGATGCAAAAGACATAATATTGGTCTGTGAATCTAAATGTTATTTCAGGATGAACTGAGAGATGCCGTTTTGCTTGTTTTTGCCAACAAACAAGATCTCCCCAATGCAATGAATGCTGCAGAAATAACTGACAAGCTTGGACTTCATTCCCTCAGCTAACGCCACTGGTTAGATAATATTAACTTTTGAAGTAACCTATTAAATATGCTGTCTCTTGGATGGGTTGCGAGTGCAGTTCTCAGAAGTTTGTTACTTTTGTTATTCTAGTTGTGCAACATCTAGAGAGGGAGCTTCCCAAAGAATGATACATGATGTTATTTTATGCAATGTTTTAATCTGTTTCAGGTACATCCAGAGTACTTGTGCAACTTCTGGAGAGGGGCTCTATGAGGGTCTGGACTGGCTTTCCAACAACATTGCTAACAAGGTAAGTATCAAGGTTGTAGCACAATTCAGAGTTTAAATGATTGTGGTATGGTGTTAGAGACAAGCTGTAAATTGTAACCACCCTGGCTTTTGCCATGACAAGGCACGAGCCACTAGGCATATGACGGGTGCCCAAATTTAGGAAAAATTTCAAATCAAGATGGGCAATAGAAACCTTTTGGAGAATAATCTTGGGGGTTAGGTGCAGGTATTTGGCTTTTTGGTGTGGGTACAAGTTTCTGGGTGAAGTTGGTTACGATTGGGATGTTCAAGGGGGAACGTGAGAGGAAAGGTAGAAAATCGGGGAGCTTTATGGCAGTTTCTAGACAGCTAGGTCTCTTACATCAGATTGTGGGCAAAAATGAAAACGAACAATGAAAGAGAACAATGTAAGAAGAAGACATGAAAGAAGTAGATCAATAGAAAAGAAGACAAGAGAAATAGCAATTAACACAAAAGACAGGGGGAAAAAAGAAAAATAGAAAAGTCAATGAGAAGAGGAGAATAATAAAAGCTACACATTTTCCCCTTTTCCTCTTAAGAATTTATATTATTGTGGCCAACTTTTATTGGCTGAAAAATCTGTACTTTCTCCAGGAACACGCGTGTTATTGAAAGGACATTTTATAAGCTTTATTATTTTTATATTTTTCATTAAATCATGAAAGATCCTTTTCTTGTTGTTTGGTACTGTCATTCAAATAAATATTGAGACAAGCAGTAGGTACGTTTTTTTTTAAGAAAAATATATTTTAAACCTTTTCTATCTTATATTTTCTCAATAATTATTTTTCTTAGAATTCCATTGGATCTGATTAATTTAAAATTTTCTTTTATTTTTTATCTGTATTATTTAATATAAAATTTAAGATATATTAATTTAATTATAACTAGTTGAATCACAGTTGGACTGTTGAACCTTGAACCGATGCCTTTATGGGCTAATGACCATTTGGTATTAAAAATATTGGTTTTTTACTGCAATTTTTGAACTGAAACTAAGTTCCATGCAGTTGGTGCTAGAGAAAGATTGGGCATGGTTAGTGTTAAAGTAGATGCTAGGCTTGGAAATTTGAAGGAGGTTGTTTAGATGGAGGAGGATGTGGTTGCATGAATAACATGGAGGGGAGGATTGGTGCCATTGAGGTACGATTGGAAGGGAGCCATCATGAGTGGGTATTAATAGCTGGAGTAGGAATAATTAAATTAAGCAGGTATCCTAATTCCGATGTTTGTTCAATTATCCATATATGAAGTAAAAATTTAATATTTTAAGCCAAACCAAATCTAGAAAAAATTGTCATATCTTGATCTTAAACACCCCAAATATTTCAAAATAGCAGGATTGCAGGATTCAATATCTACAAACCAATTGACAAAGAAATGGGAGCAAGAGAATAAACTAGCTGGGATTGACCCATAATTAGGTTTAAAAGTGATATAACAACCGAAATAAATAGCATGAACTTTCTACAACAAGGAGAATTGAAGGGTTAAAATCAAATAGCCACAGAATAAGGGGGGGAAGAAACGATGAGAGAAAATTGATGAAGCAGGAGTACATGTGAGAAACTTTATTTCCAGCATGAAACCAAGGGAGCTTGGCGTTGGTGTGCAACATGTTGATGGCGTCTATTGTATTCAAACTGAGACATTGAGGATGAGATGAGTTCTAATAGAAAAATATATTCTCATGGGGTGTGAAGTATGTTGATACTATATATTTATTACTCCTTTAATTCTATTTATGAGTCACTTTCTCTTTCACCAGATCTAAAGAAAATCTTAAAATTGATTAACTCTGCCTAAAAATTTGACAAATTCTCAACTTTGTATTTATTAAATATACATATTTTAACAACATACTTTCTTGCTCTAACATTCAATGGAGGGTTAAAAGAGAAAGATGTGATGAAAATTTACTAATGTGATTTGTTAATAGGACCCAAAAAAAATCTTCTTTCTCTGTTCTATAAATAGTACTAGAGGGAGTATGTTATAATGCAAGTATCCTAGCTGTGCATTACTATTGGACAAATATTGGATATCTACTTTCATTATTTGAACCCCACCCAGTATCCATTATTGTTCAGATATTGTATACCTATTTTGATTGGATTTCATTAGGCATCAAAATACCTGCGCCCAAATTGCCTTCCTTTTACTGGAGGCTCAGAATGCGATACATATGGGAAAGGAATTTAAGGGGGAGCTGTTGGAGAGGTTTAAACCATCTCAAGGAAATGGGGAATGAGCTCCCATGGCTTCTAAGCTAGAAGCACATGTCATTATTGTCACCAGAAACATAGAAAAGTTTGAACTTTTCTCAGCTCCCTTGAATGAAGCCTGGTTCTGAGAGGCTCATTGGAGCAATTCTAAGTGATCGTTGAGAAGATATCAATGCCAAGGTCTGGGTGCGTAAGCCCACCACTGTTAAAGAAGCGCACCTACCTGGTCCATTAGATTGAAGGAAAGAATTGGGTCTTGGATGGGGCCAGTGAATTCATATGGACCCTGAAGCCAAATTTGGGCGGTGACAATAAAATTAACATGCCATTTTAGAGCTTCTCCTATGTCTATCTTTTCTTCCCTAAAACAGATTTTTAGCCTAGCCAATTTAAGTTCAGTGATCAGCATAAGGGGTTTTGAAATAAATTGCATCATCATTTACCTTATCTTCTTTAGAAAAGAGCTACCTCTGCTGAGTACTGGCAGGCAAAGTAAATTCAAAGGTGAGAACTTGAGCTGTGCTTCTGTTATTACGAGAATTTTGGAGCCAACCATATGTGTCAAAACTCGCTGTTATTTATTTTTTTTAAGTGCTGGCAGAGGACGATGACGAAGTAGATGGAATAGAGAGCAAATTCTGAATGAAAACAAAACACCTGACAATTTCCACTTCTCACATTGAGGGTAAGATGAAACTTTAAGTAGGGGGAATGTGCATTCGGATTCCTTGTATTTATGGAAGTGAATGCATATAATACATTCAGAGTGAGAGTGAGATAGAAACAAGAGATGATGAGTGTAATGATGATATATGGACCCTACCTACAATCACATTCGTCTATATTACTTCTCCGTAAAATGTGTGAATATGAGTGGTCTAATTTAAATGATAGACCCCCAGTAATAATAATTGCAGAATGGACAGCTGGGGCATGGCTGGGAGCTAAGAACCTAGTGGAGTCAGGGATGCGTATTGGTGTGGATAGGATCTTCCAGAGGAAGTTGGGGTAAACGGTTAAAGAATGGTGGACTGTGAGAGGTTGGGGATTGGCAGAAAACTGGGTGATTTTGCGGGACGTTCTAGACTCTGAATGAGACAGGAATATTTGCTTTCCTTTCTGCTTTTCTTATGCAGTTTCTGAAAGGAACCTCTGCTATCTTTCTGAGTTCGTTTTGGAACGACATTGTAGGCTCGTCACTGAGTTTTTTTTTTTAAAATAATAAAGAAAAGATACCATTAATTAAACGATGATACAAATTAGGTCTCTAATAAGACTCACCTCTTATCACCATCCACTACCTTTCTGCAGTAAGGTGGGGGTTGATCTTAAGATCGAAAGGCACTTGATGAAGCTGAGCCATGGCTAGCCAATAAATGAGCACAAGATTAACTTCTCTAAATACAAACTGTAAGGAAAGATTACTACCCCTATATAACAAGTATCTAGCATAATCAATAATGCCTTTGTAGGGGTGAATGCATATTTTAAGGCAAAATGTTATGTTTGTGGAGCTTATTGCATCTGTACTGCTATATTTTAATAATTTAACACCCAACAAAAATCCTTGTGTACAATGTCTTATATATTCATGGGGTGACTAATCTGCCTGTTCTTTCTAGGCATGAAGCTGTTGCAAAATTTTGGCTGCCGTCTCATCATTCCATGCAAATTTGGTGGTTCTCGAAGAGGATGCTTCCTTTTCTAGTGAATGTTGTAATAGTCAGATGTTTGTTAAATTTACATCCTCTTCAATGTTAGTCGGGTTTCTGTATGATTCCTTATATTAGCTTATGCTTTTAAGCTGTAATTGGAAACCTCTGTTGCTGTCTTCTCTGGCAGAGGGCTTATCTGTGGTCATATTTTGTCTGCTCGACAGTCGGAATATTTCTGTGGAGTTAGATGTTGAAGTATTGCTATTTACTAATCATTCTGTTACAACTTCCAAGTATATCTTTGTGGAAATTTCATTTCCATTTACAGTCAAATATTTATGATCTTGTTTTTAGCGAAGAACGAGTACAATTATGTATCATTTAGCAACTAAAATTCATGATTTTATTATCATGTCATGTCAAATATTACCCCCCTTTTTAGGACACGTTTACAAAAATTGTAAAATGATTTAGGATTTGAGTTTCCATTCATATTTGTGGGTGAAAATGTAAAGTCTCGTTTAGTTATTAGAATAAAATAAATTAAAAATATAATATAAAAATAAATTAAATCACCTTCTTTTCATGATAAATTTGATAAAATTTATTAATATATGTTATAGTTTGGTAATTATTACATTCTTTAAAAATTTTATAGATCATGATTTTTAATTTATAAATTAAATTGTCTCTATAAATGAATGCAGTTTATTATTTTTTTGATCGTCTTATTTTTATTTATTTTTTAATTGAATTAAATTTATTTTTTTTAATAATCAAATGAGATTTAAAGGTGTATAGATTGTTATTCTCTTTTCCTCACTTAGATACAATGGAAGGTTTTAAACTAATCCTTTGCA